CTCTTCCTCCATATTTGTTTTCTTTTGACTAATCTCTATGCCTGTATAACATTTGCTAACCACTCTTGCCTTTTCTGTCTCTCAGCCTACTAATACTTACCAAAAGCTTTCTCTCTGCTTCTCCATTTGTCTGGTCTTAGTGGACTCTTATGAGCTTCTTTTCTCTTCCACCCCAAGTGCTGGCATCCTTTAGTCTCTTCAGGGATATTCTTCCTAATAGATATCACCCAATCTCATCACTTAAAAATACTTTTGCCCAGAATACCAAATCAGACCATTCAACTGTCAACTTGATATGTCTATTTGAATATTTAATAAATGCATCAAATTTAACAGGACCAAAGAAGTCATTTTCCTACTCAAACCTTTTCTTCCTTAAATTTCCCCCATCTCAAGAAGTAATGCTACTGCCTACTGTCAAAACATTAACCTAGTTTTACTTAATTGTTAAAAATTACAGATTTTACCTTTTTTCAATTTTTGAAATAAAGTTGACAACAGTATCTATTTTATATAGATTTTATTGATTTTGTACAGAGAGAAAGGGAGAGAGATAGAAAGCTAGAAACATCGATGAGAGAGTCATCGATCAGCTGCCTCTTGCACACCCCCTACTGGAGATATGCCCGCAACCAAGGTACATGCCCTTGACTGGAATCGAACCCAGGTCCCTTCAATCCCCAAGCCGACGCTCTATCCATTGAGCCAACCCGGTCTCAGCAACAGTATCTATTTTAAAGTGTAGTTATGATACCCTATCCAGGTTGGCTCAGTGGATAGAGCATCAGCCTGCAAACCAAAGGGTCTTGGTTCTATTCCAGTCAAGGGCACATATCTCAGTTGTGGGCTCCTCCCGGCCCAGGGCCCTGGTCAATGCACATGCAGGACCAATCAATATGTCTCTTTCACATCGATGTCTCTCCCTCTCTCTTCCACTCTCTCTAAAAATCATTGAAAAAATACACTGAGTGACCAGATTATTATGATCTCTGTATGCATAATAATTTGGCCACTCAGTGTATATCCTATATAATAAAAGGCTAACATGCCAATTGTCCCCTCAACCAGGAGTATGACGAGCAGGCAGGCCAGCCAACTGCCCATGTCCCCTTCTCTTCCCCACTAAGTGATATCACCCAATCTATTCACTTAAAAATACTTTTGCTCAGCCAAAACTGGTTTGGCTCAGTGGTAGAGCATCGGTCTGCGGATTGAAAGGTCCCAAGTTCGATTCCGGTCAAGGGCATGTACCTGGGTTGCAGGCACATCCCCAGTGGGGGCTGTGCAGGAGGCAGCTGGTTGATGTTTCTCTCTCGATGTTTCTAGCTCTCTATCTCTCTCTCCCTTCCTCTCTGTAAAAAATCAATAAAATATATATATATATATATATATATATATATATATATATATATATATATATAAAATACTTTTGCCCAGAACATCAGATCAGACCATTCAACTGTCAACTTGATATGTCCACTTGAATATCTAGTGGACATATGCATGAATTCATGTACTGGGCCTCTAATATATTCACTGAGTGGCCAGATTATTATGATCTCTGAATTCATAATAATCTGGCCACTCAGTGGTTAATTGGGTGAAGATTTTAAAACATAATTAAATAAATTGTGGTTATGAGGATTGAGCAAAATCCCCAAAGGTATTATCATCATTACTTTCATGACTCTCCTTCCATCAACAAGCTCAAGCTTATCAACTCTACTTCCAAAAGCACATCCTGAATTCCATGATTCTCTTCATCTCATCTACTATCACTATTCTTAGCTATTACCCACAAGTCTGTTCACTACAATGCTTACAATGACTTTTAGCCTATCTCCTTGCTTCTACTATTACAACTACAGCACATTTTCTTTAAGGAAGGCAGTGCCATTTAACAGGAAAGAAATTAGTACTTCACTCTTTACTTAAAAAATAAAATAAAATAAACTAAAATAAAATAAAATAAAATAAAATAACTGCAATGGCTTGTGATCAAACTTCAGATGCTGGGAGAATGAAGATGGTGGCATAGGTAAACACCTGTACTTGCTGCCTCCCACAACCACATTAAAATTACAACTAAAATACATATCATCCAGAACCACAGGAAAGCTGGCTGATTGGAAGTATGACAACTAGAGAGATAAAAAGAAAGTGCATTGAGTCTGGTAGGAGGTGCCGAGGCACATATTGGGCTGGCACCTGGGTGTGCTGCTTTTTAAATCAGGAGGGAGATACTAGCTCCCACTTGCTATGAACTCCAGTGCCAGGCGAGACACATATAGGGGGAAACTGGACAGTCTGGCATCAGGGCAGGAATGCTGGGCAGCTTTCTTCCAGATGGAGGTGATCAATATGTTCATTGTTCCTGTGTTGGGACCTTCCCAGTGTAGGGCTGACTGGCAGCTATTGTTATTTGCTCTGCCCTGGAGATTCCCTGAGAGCCCATCCTTTCAATTTACAACCCCACCCAAGCTTTATGCAATGTCTTTTGCATATGAAAAGCCTGTCCTTTCTCAGCCTAAAACTTGTCATCTAATAAGCTTGCAGCTGGTCAGAGAGCCCCAAGGCTGTCAAAAGAAGGCCCAAGGCCAGCACCAGTACCAGCTTGCCTTGCTTCACAGGTGGGCTTCATCTGGGCACTTCCAGTCTGAGCACTTCTAACCCTGATACAAAGAGGAGGAATCTGTAATCTCTGTGTAGCTCCTGCTGGGTGGCTCCAGGCAGTGACTGACTTTGCACCTCCTTGGAGATCCTGAATTCAGTAGGAGAGACACTACCAGTCACCTTTAAAATTTACTTGCAAAAGAGCTAATGAGAAAGCACTTTGGAAGGTGAGGCTTCATCTTTGTTTTCCAATAAGTGGTCTCAGTTTTTCTTCTTATAGAAGTTTAAATCAGTTTGTTTCCATTCTATCTAAACCATTACTGTTTTCAGCTTTCACATAAAGTCTAGCACTCTGTTTATACAAAGTCTAAGAAAAGTCAATAGAGATAATCTAATCTAAACATGACATCATCCATCCAAGTTCATGGCACAACCTTTCACTTTCAGTGCTATTTTAATGCTGTACTATCGATATATTACAAAACACACAACTATAAATGGAAGTAGGAAAAAACTAATATAAATTTTCACATGGAAATGAGTAAATTGTGGTATAAATTTACCACATGACTAGCGCATGACCCAGCAATTTCATTTCTGGGTATTTATTTGAGGGAAATAAAAGCATTGACTTGAAAAGACATATGTACTCCAATATTCATTGCAGCATTATTACAATAACCAATAAATGGAAACAACCTAAATGTCCTTTGGTGAATAAATGAACAAAGAAACTATATGTAATGGAATATTATTCAGCCATAAAAAAAGAATGAAATCTTGCCATTTGTGATAACATGGGTGCCCCTTCAGGGCATTATGCTAAGTGAAATATGTCAGACACTGAGAGACAAATAATGTGATCTCATGGGCAGAGTTTTTTAAACAAAACAAAACAAAACAAAACAAAAACAGTCTCATAAATACAGTGAACAGATTGGTGGTTCCCAGAGGCAGGAGGTGGGAGGTTGGTAACATAAGTGAAGGGGTCAAAAGGTACAAACTTGCAGATACCAAATAAGTAAGTCCTGGCGATGTAAAGCACAGCGTCATGACTATCATTAATAACAATGCATTTCATATTTGATGGTTGCTAAGAGAGATCTTAAAAGTTTGCATCACAAGAAAAAAAATCTGTATCTGTGGTGATTATCCCCCAAATGTACACACATATGGAATCATTATGTTGTACATGGGAAACCAATATAATATTCTATGTCAGTTATACCTCAGTTTAAAAAGCTGTGGTGCAGTGACAGAATAAAACATAGCTGTTAAAATGAATGAACTATAAAGCCTCAGGTATCAACCTGTAAAGATCTCAAACACATAATGCCGAGGGGTTTTTAAAAGCAGTTCTATGATAATTATTTAAAAATTACAGTTATATAAATAGTCTCAACACTTCATGGATGACTAACAACTGGAGGAAACAGAAAGATGTCCACTGGAAGGAGAAAAGCAAAACTGCCTAGTCTCTCCTTCTGGAATTTAGAAATAAACTTTGCTTCAGAATTAACCACCTATTCAAGAACTAGGGTCAATGCTAGGAGCTTTTTGTTTCTAGTTTGATTCCCAGTCAGTGCACAAACCTGGGTTTCAGCTTTGATCTCAGATTGGGGCACCTTATGCAAGGCTGCCAATCTCTCCATCTCTCTCTCTCTCTCTCTCTCTCTCTCTCTCTCTCTCTCTCTCTCTCTCCTTTCTCTTTCCTTCTTGTCTCTCTAATCTCCTTCTCCCTCATCCCCTTCTCTCTCTCATTTCCTTCTCTTCTCTCATCTCCTTCCCTCTCTCATCTCCTTCCCTCTCCATAAGTAGGTCCTCCCTTGTCCTCCAATTAGGATTTAAAAAAAAAAAAAAAAAAAAAAAAGGAGAGGAGAGGAGAGGGGAGGGGAGGGGAGGGGAGGGGAGGGGAGGGGAGGGGAGGGGAGGGGAGGGGAGGGGAGGGGAGGGGAGGGGAGGGGAGGGGAGGGGAGGGGAGGGGAGGGGAGGGGAGGGGAGGGGAGGGGAGGGGAGGGGAGGCAAAGTCTGTGACTTTCTCTGAATTGCGCTGAAACTCATAAACCCAAGAGCCCCAATAGTCTCAGAGACTTTCAAGATAGCCCTGGGTTATCCCTTGAAATCCAGAGCCTGGCATTTGGCCTGTGCAGGCTAGCTGGGGGCAGGCTGAAGGCGGGGCAGAGAGAGGGGGACTGGTGTGATTCACAAGTCCTGTGGGCTCAGAACTAGGACAAAGTTCGGGGGGCGGGGCGGCAGGGAAGGGGCGTGGCTGAGTGGGGGCAGGCAGGAGGGTTGGCAGTGCTGGGATTGGTGTGACAGAGGCGGGCAGGACTTCACCAGTTCAGAGTGCCTTGGAGTCAGAGGACCTCAGAGCCAGGATCTCCGCGATGGGCTCCCTAGCGGCGGCCCTCTTGAGGGTGCTCCATCCCAGCTCTCTCCTGCTGGGAGCAGTTGTCTTCCTGCTCCTTGCCAATTTCTTCAAAAACCGGATCCCCAAGAACTACCCGCCTGGACCTCCGCGTCTGCCCATCCTTGGGAATTTCTTCCAACTGATCTTGAAGGAGCCTCATCTGTCTATTCAGAAGGTAGGAGTGGGCGGGCACAGGTGCTGGGTGGAGTCTTGACCCTGACCTGAGGGCAGGACCCTGGGGGGAATTAGGGGTGTGAAGCACAGCTGGGAACTAGAGTAAATAAAGCTGTCCTGCATAAGTGAAAGTTGCCAAGAATAGACCTTAACAGTTTGCATACAGGAGGTTTCAGTTCATCCACTTTAATAGCTGTGTAGTATTGTCATCACACCACATTTTTTAAAAAAACTGAGGTATAATAGACATAGTACATGGTATTAGTGTCAAGTGTACAACCTAATGATTCCATATTTATATACACCTGGAAATGATCACCACAAATAATATCTGTCACCATGCATTAGCTACAAATTTTTTTTCTTGTGATATGAACTTTTTAAGTTGTACTCTTAGCAATGTTCAAATATGTTATTAACCTCAGCCAGGATGCTGTGCTTTACATCCCAGGACCTACGGCTTTACAGCTGCAAGTTTGTACTTTTGATACCCTTTACTCATTTTGCCATCCTCTCACTTTCACTCTCTCGCTCCCATTACACTAAGGTCCCCACTACACTCTGAGGTCCCTATTGTACTCGGAGGTCCCCACTACACTCAGAGGTCCCCACTACACTCTGAGGTCCCCACTTCAATCTGAGGTCGCCACTACACTCGAAGGCCCTAGAGCCACTTCAGGATCTTGTCCTCCAATCTTACACAATTCCCTCCGCCACTCTATAACTTCCTTACCTTGGCTGCATTCCTTCAGCTCCCACTCATTTTCCTTTCCTGAAATTTGTTAGGACCCTGGAGCCCTTGTGAGATTAAATAAGATAAAAGATGAAAGGTGCTCAGCATGGTACCCAGTGAGCATGGCCCTTGCAACCAGGGGTGCTGTCCTCCAGCACATCCCTGCACTCTGGTCCTCCCACCACCAGGAGCGCACATGCAGGTCTTTCTGCACACAGGGCGCCTTCCTTCTCCATGACACCAGTGGCCATGTACTGAGTACCAGAAAACCCAGTGCCTTTCGCATTGCTGCCCTCCTTCTCCCTAGCAGCGCCCTTTGACAGAGGGATCATTCTCTCTCTTTTATAGCTAGGGTTCAGAGGCTCCAAAAGGTGAGACAGTTTTCTCAGGAGCAAACAGTTGGTGACCAGAGAACTAAGGTCCACACACACAGTTCCAGAGCCAAAGGGCTTTTCTCACACCTGGCCCCAGCCTGGTAAGGAATTTTCTGTCTTCTCGCACGTGTTGAGAAAGAAAAAGTTCTCTTTTGCATAAATGACATGATTTGCTAAAAAGTCCATGCTTATCAACAATAAAAAATACATTTGAAAATGAAACAAAAAAGTCCAAGCTTGCTACACCAGACGTGCACTACATGGGTCTCAGCAATCTTGGTGAGTCATGTGTACTGAATTCTCTCCCTTTATTAGGCTCTAAGATGCGTGAGGTTAGAGACATTCATTTTATCGAAGCAATATCTTCATAACTCATTTCAGGACAAGGGTAGATGCTCTTATCAGCTCACTCTGTGAAGAAATGTTTTATAATGTATGTCCATGCCCTGCAGTGACTTGCATCCAGGCCTGGTTGAGAGGAGCAGAGACTCAGAGCATACACCTAGGCCCTCAATACAAACCCCCAACTCCACACTCCTTTCCTGGACACCGAGATGGGCGTGTTCAACTGTGACTATTTCTTTTTTAGTATGTGAAGCAATACGGGAACCTTTTTAGCATGGAGTTTGGTGCCTGGTCTTCAGTCATTATAACTGGATTGCCCTTGATCAAAGAAGCCCTTGTCCACCAGGGTCACAACTTTTTGAACCGTCCCATGTCCCCTGTTCGAAAACGGATCTTTAAGACAAACGGTAAGCTTCTTGACTAATGTCATATGTGGATGTCTTAATATTTTTAAAGCTTGTCAGTGGTGCCTCTGTGACTATAATCCTCCAGCACTCCCCAGAGACCAAGCCCATTATAGAGCTCCTGCCTGTAAAGAAAAATTGATGTTCACATTTCCCCAGGAAGGCGCTGTGTCAGAGGATCAAACAGGGCCAGTCCTAATGATGAGAATTTGGAAAAACAGCATCTCCGGTGTGTGTTCACTCACTCTGGATGCTTTGATAAACACATAACTCTTCATTCCATGAGAGCAGAGGAGGTGGCAATATGTTGGCTCTCTCTGGTTTCCTGCTGACAGTCTTCCCCTAGGAATGTGGATGTACGTCTGCTTCCTTCCACTGCTTTTGAGGTTTCTTCTTGGCTCCAGTTCTTCCTGCTTTATCATTAAGGTGTCCACAGGCATCTCAAGCCTTCAGGTCTATGTTAGAAGAGTTTGGCATGAATAGTTTAAATGATCATTAAATAAAGTGAAACATTTAAAAATCTGAACGAACATGTGTTGCTCTACCAGAGCACCGTATTTTTCAAGTGCTCCCCAAGTCCTCTTTGAAAGAGTTTACTGCTTCACTCTCCATCCATTTACTCTATTTATTACATGCAAGGTGAAGCATAGTGCCAGGTACCAGTGACACAACAATGAGTAGAATAGATAAAATCCACATCTCTATGTAAGTCAAATTCTATCCGAGAGAAAGACTATCAACTCTCCATAATAATTTAAAGCATTTATGTAGACGAGAGCAGATGCACTTACTAGGGATATCTAATCTAGTCCTGAGATTCAGGAAAAACTAATGTAAGTAAATGACAAGTGATTTAATAAAGAGGAGAAGCAATCAGGCAGCGGGACTAGAATATAAAAAGTCCCTGAGGTGAGAAGGACAGTGAACCTGAGGAAATGAAAAAGTGGCCAGTGTGGCAAGCACAGTGATTCAATGGAATAATTAAATGGAGATGAAGCTGCTGAGCTTGGCCTGGGATAATTTATTCAGGTTCTCAATAAGGATGTTGGTTTTTATCCTAATAACAATGAAGCTCTTAAATGGTTTCCAACAGAGAAAGGAATCATCATATTTACATTTTAAAGCCTTATTTGGGCTGCAATGTAAAGAGTAAAATGAAGGAAGCAAGAGATTTTTGCAACATTTTGAGAGAAAGTGTTTGCTTGGACTAGAGAGGTGGCAAGAAAGGACAGTGGATGAAAATGGGACAGTGGCAGAGAAAATACATGGATTTAAGGTATCCAGGAGATAATCCAGTAAGACATGATGAACCAGAGGGAGGGACAAGGAGGGAGACTGATGTGAGGCAGATCCCCAAATGAGTGGATTGATGGGAAGAAGGAACATTTGGAGGACAAGGTGTCTGGTTAGGCTTGGATGGGGAGTTGCATGGAGAAAACCATCAATTCCATCATGGATTGGCTGTGATTGAAATGCTACATTGGCAAACTCAAGCAGACACCTGTATATCTGTGTCTGGAGCTCAAGGAATAGAAATAGAGAGTCTCTGTCAATAGATGTTACTTAAAATTGTAGGTGTAGTGAGATGTCCCAAGAATGGAGTAAGGGTGCAAACAGAAGACTTTACCTTGAAGAACTCCAGCATTTGAGAACTTGGTAGGAGATAAACTAGCCAGAGATATAGGAAGTTCTCTGCTTTCAGAGATTAGGGGACAATTCTGGAGAGTGCAGTGCCCTGAGCACCTCTGGAAGAGAGGGTTTCAGGAAGAAAGGGTCAGGTGCTGCTGAAAGACCAAGGAGGGTGAAGTTGCAAAGCATCCCTGGAGCTGCCATCCAGGAGGGCCATTTCATAGAGATGGAGCCAGATGTGAAAAGGAGTTGAAGCATGCTCTGGAAGTGAAGAGGTGACAGGAGCATGGCCTTACCTGTGTTATGAAAGAAAGGATGGTCTGTGCAACACAATGAGATGTTGTCTTTTCCTTTGCCTGCACATGATATCCACTCCTCTGCTTTCTTCAGTCATTTACTCATCTGTTAAGGTCCAGCAATGCCTTGCCTCTTTACAAACCTGGGTTTTCTTCCCTGGGGCTGCATTCTTAGTATGTAGTGTAACATAAATACATAAATCAACCTATGTGGCTGGTAATCAAAGCGTGGGCTGGGCACTCAGGGTTGCGAACTTGAATGCCTGTTCAGCTGACCTTGCACACATTACTTTATCCCTGTGCCTCAGATATCTCATCAGCAAAAGTGGGACAGGGGGTGATAATTCTATCTACCTTAGAGTCCTTGTAAGTACTAAATTACAGAATGCATAAAAATGCTACTTTGCCTGGCATTGCAAACCATCAGTACATGTTGGCAATTGTATTCACTGTTCTGGGGGGACTCCTCTGAATACTTTCCCCTGTCTAATGCCTTTTTTCCTTCTGCCATCTGATACAAGACCCTGTACCCATTGTTGGCTTTCTTTCATTCAGGCTTGATCATGTCCAATGGTCAGGAATGGAAGGAGCAGAGAAGGTTCACCCTGACAACACTGAGGAACTTTGGTTTAGGAAAGAAGAGCTTAGAGGAACGCATGCAGGAGGAGTCCTACCACCTCAACCAGGCAATAGAAGAGGAGAATGGTGGGTATATTTCCTAAGTCAGATGCAGGAGACTGCGGCTCATTCACTCACTGAACAATATTACCAGTAGTTAGTACTTACATATCTGTCCTGTGCCCAGCTGTGTGTTAGGCACTAAGAATAAAACTGAACATGTAACCATGGTCCTGTGCTCATGGAGTGCTAGAATTACTAAGCAAAAGAAGACTGGCATTAAAGACATTACAGGTTATGCCCTGGCCAATGTTGGTAAGTGGTTAGAGCATCGGCCCATGCACCAAAGGATCCTGGATTTGGTTCTCTGTCAAGGGCACATGCCTGAGTTGTGGGTTCATTCCCTGCTCCCTTGTCAGGGCAAATGCAAGAGGCAACCAGTTGATGTGTGTGTCTTCCCCTTCCCCCTCTGTTCCCCCTCCCTTGGCCCTCCCTTCCACTCTCTGAAAAGCAACAGAAAAAGTATCCTCTGGTGAGGATTAACAACAAACAAAGACATTACTGATTTATTTTTTTCTTTTTGAGAACAAAGCAAGTTATTCAAGTAGAGAAAAAGAAAGAGGCCAGGGCACAGGCACCACTATAAAAGAAGCAAAAGTACAGCATTTGTCTGTCAGGGTGGATGTGGGTCAACTTGAGAGGTAGTTGTGCTCCTGGCCAGTTAAGTTATTGGGATTTTGCTTCCAAGGATGTGGGTGGGTGGGGGATTGTCTCCAAACATTGTGGTGTCAAATTCTGACTCTGCCTTCTGATTGAGAGTGGGAGTTGTTGTTGTTGTTATGACTCCCAGGACCACACAGGTGCCTCCAGCCATTTATCCTTTCCCTTTGATTATTCCTGGCAATGGGGGCTCTGGTGAGATGTCAGCTCCTACTTCCTCATTCCACTTGTCTGAATTTTTTCCTAACTACTCCTCCCCCTCCCCTTACCTTCCTCCCCTCTCCTTCCCTCCTCTATCTTTTCTTTCTTTCTTTCTCCTCCTCCTCCTCCTCCTCCTCCTCCTCCTCCTCCTCCTCCTCCTCCTCCTCCTCCTCCTCCTCTTCCTTTTCCTCCTCCTCTTCCTCCTCCTCCTCCTCTTTCTCCTCCTCCTCCTCCTCTTCCTCCTTCTCCTCCTCTTCCTCCTCCTCCTCCTCCTCTTCCTCCTCCTCCTCCTCTTCCTCCTCCTCCTCCTCCTCTTCCTCCTCCTCCTCCTTCTCCTCCTCCACTCAGAAAACAGAACACTCCCATGCCATTGTAAAATGTTTTGCCTCTCCTTGCAAAATAGGTTGCTTGCTTCAAAATGTTTAAACCCTTCTCTCCCCGTTGTGTAGCTGGTAATATGTACGTCAGTTCAACATTACTGATTTTTTTTAAAATACATTTTATTGATTTTGTACAGAGAGAAAGGGAGAGAGTTAGAAACATCGATGAGAGAGAGTCATCAATCAGCTGCCTCTTGCACATCCCCTACTGGGGATATGCCCGCAACCAAGGTACATGCCCCTGACCGGAATCAAACCCGGGACCCTTCAGTCCCCAAGCTGACGCTCTATCCATTGAGCCAAACCGGTCTCGGCTCAACATTACTGATTTTAAACCCTGGTCAGCAATTCGACTTTCCAGGCATTGAGTGAGCACTTGCTGTCAGATCCTGGGTAGGGTGCTATGGCCAGGCCTCAGATGTATTTCTGTGCTCAGTATGTCATATGACATATGTCATGTAGACTCTCAGTAGAAACAGAGACAAACCAACCTGAAGGATCCACCTTTTCTTCCACCTCCAGGACAGCCTTTTAACCCTCACTTCAAGATCAACAAAGCAGTTTCCAACATTATTTGCTCCATCACCTTTGGGGAGCGCTTTGAGTACCAGGATAGTCAGTTCCAAGAAATGCTGAGGTTGCTGGACGATATCATAGTTATGGAGGTGTCAGTGTGGAACCAGGTAAGGGGTTCTCTTTTCATACATGATTAAGGATATTGGGGTTGATGTCAGACATGGATTTTTAAAAAATATATTTTATTGATTTTCTACAGAGAGGAAGAGAAAGGGATAGAAAGTTAGAAACATCGATGAGAGAGAAACATTGATCAGTTGCCTCCTGCACACCCCCTACTGGGGATATGCCTGCAACCAAGGTACATGCCCTTGACTGGAATCAAACCTGGGACCCTTTAGTCCGCAGGCCAACGCTCTATCCACTGAGCCAAATCGGTTTTTGGCAACACGGATGTTTTTATAAGCTGCAATATAACCTTTTAAAATTGACTTCATCAGAAACTTGTTTGAAATCAACTAGTGTGACTATAGTGTTTTTGATATTTTAAAATATTTATTATATATAAAGAACATTTCTAGCATTTATATAAAGCAATAAACTTCACATGTCATATACCTGTGCACCTGTGGGAATCACTTTCATGTCTCACGTGGTTCAGGGTTCTAGCTCAGGGTTCAGGTTCTGGAGAAGGCCATACACAAATGAAAGAGACTAGAAAAATATTAATTTTAGAAATGGGGGACAGGCAGAAGCCCAACTCTAGTGGGAGGACTATGCTTTGATTTGGCCTTGCCATCCCTTTTATTCAGATTTGGGATACACACATTGCCCTTAGGCAGGCAATTCCAGTAATAGGCAGATTATCTTATTAGTAAGGATTTACATGATTATTTGGTGGGAAAGTTGCTTCAGCCAGTATTCCATGTTTTCCCAAAAATAAAACATCCTCCAAAATAAGACCTACTTACAGGTTTCCTTCTGAGTGAAATATAAGGCATCCCCCCGAAAATAAGGCCCCCCTTAGGCTCTGTCTCAGAATGAAAATTAATTTACCATAAACTGGTCGCTAGGGCCGTCCCGACTGGTGTCTAGCAACCAGTGATGTTACTTGGAGTCCTGACATCAATGCTGTGTGGAGGAGGAGCAGAGGTCAGAGCAAGCTGTGAGCACTGGGCGGGAGAGAGGAGGAGACTTTTGCAGATGTGTGTAGAAGAACAGGAGGATTAGAGTGGAATGTACACAGCGGAGGGGGTGAGTGCTGGTCTGTCTCTGGTGACACTACCTGATGCTCGTGGCTGCCCTCATGATGACTGAAGTTCTCAGTCAGGGGCAGACCCTGCTCCAGCCCAGATCCAGGCCTTAGAAAGCCCAGTGACAGTCCCAAGGCAGGCCCCGGGGGGTAAATGTCTGATAAAGGGGTAGGGGGGAGGTCTGCTGAAGGTGTTCAGTGGCACAGGGGTGGGGGGAGGGGGATCACTTAAAATGACACAGGGGGATCAGAGGGGGCAATCAAAATGACACAGGAGGATCAAAAGGGGTTACTAAAATGGCAATCCCCCCTCTGATTCTCCTGTGCCATTTGATTGCCCCCTCTGATCCACCCTGTGTCATTTTAAGTGACCCCCCCTCCCCCCACCTTGATACCCCAATTCCTTTTTTTTACCCCTAGAAATGAGCACAAAAAGAAAAAGCTACTCCATGGAGTACAAGAAAGGAATCATGGAAGACTCTTGGGGCCAAAATCTTACTGCTTTCTGCAAAGAGAAGATGTTGAGTATCTGATTGGTCCAAAAATGGCGAGCAGAGTATGGTAACTTCATTGAACAAGTGGACAAAGGAAATGCTAAAAAGCGCAAGTGTGGATCAGGTTGGCAACCATTATTTTCTGAGCTGGAAGACCTGATCTGTGATGGGTTGTTGACAGGAGAGCAATGGCTTTGGTTGTGAATAGGGCTCAGATTCAAGAATTTACCCTTGCAATGGCACCACAGTTTGACATAGCCCCCGAAGACTTCAAAGCATCACAACACTGGCTGGATAATTTCCTTCAGCGAAGTGAACTGTCTTTAAGAAGACCTACAACATTGTTTAGGTTGGAAGATACTCAAGCTATTAAGCGAGCACTTGCATTCAAGTCCTTTATTGATGATGCTGACTTCTCTAAATACAATCTTTCCAACATGATTGCTATGGGTGAAACGGCAGTGTTTATGGGCCAATCATCTCAAACAACAATTGAACAGCGAGTTGCCTCCTTAGTGTACATTCTCTCCACTGCTTATGAAAGTGCACGTGTTTCCTGTATTTTGGCAATTCATCTGGATGGCACTAAAATCCCACCTTTAATCATTTCTAAGGGCAAGAAGGAAAAGATTGAACGTGTTTTGGGCATTTTTATTCTTGAAACTGAAAAAGCCTGGGCCACACGAGCCAGTTATAAGGAAGTGGGTCGATTTAATGCTGCCGCTTGTTATGCAAGGGAGCCAAAGAGATCTGCTAGTCTGGGATGCAGCCAGCACTCACCGCACTAAAGACATGAAGACATTTCTTCATGAAAGAAAAATAGATCAGATAATGATTCCCGCAGGAATGATGACCTATCTCCAGACTCTTGATATTGCAATAAACAAACCATTCAAAGACAATTTGCACATGGAAATTAATGACTACATTGAAAATAGAATGGAGAGAAATCAGCATGGAAACTTTGTGAAACCTAAACTGCAAGAAGTTATGACTTGGGTGAAGAATTCCTGGGAGAAAATCACTGACAGTTGCATTGCAAATGCACTGTGAGAGGCTACCTTGACAAGAAGTACTCATTTAAAGTGCTATTGCTAAACATGAGAGATTTGGTCCACTGATTTTGAAAGAAATGGAGTCACAAGAAATTTACCAGGAAATTCAGGAACTTGATTGTTATGATGATGTTCCAGAAGATGATGACATGATTGTCATTGAATAAATGAGTAAATTCTTGATACTGTAGAATTCACAGTTTGTCTGGTTTGTGTTGACAACTACCGTACTACCGTACTGCATACAGGTAATAAATTTCCTTTATTTTCATTTAACAATAAATGTATACTGTATTCTTCTTCATGGAAAAATAAATCATTCCCTGAAAATAAGACCTAGCGCATTTTTTGGAGCAAAAATTAATATAAGATAATGTCTTATTTTTGGGGAAACAGGGTAGTTTCAATTAGATAGGGAGTGGTTGGCTCTGACCTTTCAGAGCTTCAAGGTTGACCAGCCTTCTGGGTTTCTCATCCACACCTTTCTAATTAGTGAGACAATGATTGGTTTTCCTCCTGCACCTATGTTGTTTTATTTAAAAAGGACAATAGTGCCATTGCCTTTGAGTTTCCTGGTCTCTCATGTCCCTCCCTAAGCCAGCTGTCTCAACCCCCTCTCTCCATCAGCTGACTATTTGAGATTCATTGGTGTTAGTTGCCCTTTTTAAAAAAAAATTCTGAAGAATATTTCATCTTATGAATATGACATTGTGTGTCTTTCTATTCTCTATTCATATACACTTGGATTGTTTCCCGGTTTTGAATGTTATGAGTAAAGCTGGCATGTACAATCTAGTACAACTGCTCATGTGAACACATCCATTTGTTTCTCTTGCCCGTATAAACCTGGGCATAGAAGATGCTTCCCAGAAGTTTTCAAAACCGTTACACTGTTTACACACCCATCAATAGGATATTATCAATCTAATTTCGTAGGGTAAAGATGGATAATTATTATGATCATTATTAAACCTCACCTCTTACTTGGTGGATACTGTCTGTGTTCCATTTTTGTCCCTGGGGCCTGTGAGTCTTTCAGAAACTCTGTTCAGCTTCTTGGTCTTAAATCAGTGCAAGTGTTGACTCACCTCTCTGGTATCTAGAAGTGGATTTATTTTTTATTTATTTCTGACAAGCATCTTTGCTTAGAGCTTTATGGCTCCATCATATCAAAATGGATAAAGAAGATATCATGAATCCTGGCATAGGAAAAGGCCATAATGAATGAAAGCTATAATTATTATTATCAAAGTTATTTTTGAATTCCTAGTTCTCACTTCCAGTCATGGTAGCACCCAATCCAGTGATTCCACTTTGTTCTTGCTAATAAGACAGAACACAGGATAGGTGAGAGGTCAGAGGATACCCCATGACTTTCCTCAGGGAAAATAAATCCCTGGAAGAGTAGGAAGGACCAGCAGAGGAGGAGAATAAGCATGTCTCAGGGTCCAAAAATAGAGGCATTTTGATGAACAATTGCACTTGATTTAAGTTAATTTTCACAACAACCCTTTGAAGATGAAATGAAGCATCCCGGTGTGTGCAGGCAGACATGTCAGGGTGTGAGCAACGTCAGATCATGGCTCTTTGGTTCCATGTTAAGTTCTTAATGGATTGCATGTCACTGAGTCACCAGAATAATCCTGAGGCCCCACAGGCAACAAGATAAACAAAAGAGCAACAAGTTACATCCTCTTCATTTTCATCCTCATTATTATTTTTATTAGAAACCCGGTGCACAAAATTTGTGCACTTTGGTGGGGAGGGGGTCTCTCAGCCCAGCCTGTACCTTATCCAATCTGGGACCCCTCGAAGAATGTCTGACTGCCCATTTAAACCCGATTCAGGTGTGATTGGGCCTAAACAAGCAGTTGGACATTCCTCCACAATCCAGGACTGCTGGTTCCCAACTGCTTGCCTGCCTGCTTTCCTGATTACCCCTAACTGTGTCTGCCTGCCAACCTGATCACCCCCTAACCACTCCCATGCCAGCCTGATTGATGTCTAACTGCTCCTGTGCCAGCCTGTTTGGCCCAACTTCCCTCCTTTGCTGGCTTGGTCACCTCTAACTGCCCTCCCCTGAAGTCATGATAGCCCCCAACTGCCCCCCCCTCCTTTCAGGCCTAGTCCCTCCCAACAGCCCTCCCCTGCTGGCCATCTTGTGTCCACATGGCCATATGGTGGCAGGATCTTTGATCACATAAGGGCAGCCATCTTGTGTGTTGGAGTGATGGTCAATCTGCATATTACTCTTTGTTTAAATAGGATAGAGGCCTGGTGCATGTGTAGGGGCCAGCTGGTTTGCCCTGAATGGTTTCCCAGATCAGGGTAGATCTTGGGGTGTGGGACAGGCTGGGCCAGGGGCCTGTGGTGGTTTGCAGGCCACCCATACCCCCTGGTGACCTGAGTGGAGGCTCTGGTATCTGGCATTTATTAACCTTTTACAATTTAAACTTTGTAGCCTGGAGCAGAGCCAAGCATTCTGCTCCATCCATGGTGTCATCCATTTCTGTTGGAATTTATTTATCTTCTATAATTGAAACTTTGTAGCCTTAAGCGGAGGCCTGGGCTGACCAGGGTGTGCGGAAAGCTGGGCTTCCTCCTTAGCCAGGGGCAACCCTAGCCTCCTGCTCTCTATTGTCTCATAAAGTGCAGTACTTGCACCATGTTGTCTTCATATTCTGTTTTTCTCTATTAGCTCTATAATACCTTTCCACGGATAATGAACTTTCTTCCTGGATACCACCAAACACACTTTCACAAATGGGAGCAATTGAAGTTGTTTATTTCTCATGTGATTCAAAACCACAAGAGAGATTGGAATCCTGCAGAATCAAGAGATTTTATCGATGCATACCTCACAGAAATAGAAAAGGTGAGAAAAATTTTCCTGTGCTTTGTTTTGAAGACAAATGGGGATGTACAGGTTTCCTCTTCATGCTGTAACAAATTAACTCAGTGGCTTACAACAACACAGATTTATCTCACAGCTTTGGAGGTCATAAGTCTGAAACCAGTTGAACTGGGCTCAAGTCAAGGTGTTGGCAATACTGTCTCCTTTGAGGGCTCTAGCAGAGAATCTGTTTCCTTGACCTTCCCAGCTTCTACAGGTCACCTATATGCTTGGCTCATGGCCCCTTCCTATATCTTCAAAGCCATCCATGTAACATCTTCTCTGTTACCATCCTTACATCTTCTCCATACAACTCTCTGGCCTCTTGTGATTGTATTGGGCCCATTGGGATGCTCCAGGATCATCTTCCCAAACTAAGATTGCTAACTTAATCATATCTATAATGTTCCTTTTCCCATATAATACTCACAGCTTTCAGAGATTAGACATAGACATGTTTGTGAGTCATTATTCAACTTACCACAGGGAAGTAAAAACAGAGGCAGAATTTCATAGAGTGTAAGAGTAGCATTAACTCAGGATGGATGAGGCAATTAGGAATAAAGATAGGAATAAAGATATGGGTTCAATGGCATTTGGCTTAAGATCTTGGGAATGCACAAATACTGCCTTTTCTTCTTCTATTCTCTACCTTCAATATTTGAAGGAGCTATATGAAAAAGGAAAGATAAGAATTGAACCTCAGAACTTTGTTTTATTATTATATGGACCTGTGCCCAATGACCTACCCCTACAAGAAAAGCTGAATGCATAGGAGAGTTTATCATCAAGGACTGAGTAAGACCCTAGACTGTCCACTTTATGACATTATAGGAAAGAAACAGGGGTGAAGGTACCAAATTATTATAGATGTATAGATATGAACACTGTAATCCTTCTGATTAATAGACTTAGTATCAGTGTCATAATTTTTGACTATCACATTAGTTGATCCTCTTGTGAAAGTGGGCAGAGTGATGAATTTCTTTCCCATTCCCTCTCTTATTTCACTGTATTGGCATTATATTAATAAAAATATTGATTTGTACTCAGAGGAGGAAACTTCATGTGCTATATGGAGTCACACAGTAAGAGGAATGTTGAGAAGTTAAAGCTTTCAGAAGAAGGTGGTAAAAATGATGAAATGCCATGAAGAATGACTGTTAGAATCAGTGAGTTTTCACCTGGAAGAAAAACATTAACTGAGAGATATACAACTTGTTGCACATAAACAAGTTCAGTTTATTCTTTCTAGTATCAGTATAAACATTTGTTGAGTATTTGCCATGTGCCCTTTGCCTCTCATGGCATTCATAATGTTATCTTCATGGGTGTGTTTTGTTATTTCTATTTTTTTAAGATGGGAAACTGAAGCAGGAGGATAAGTAACTTGCCCTTTGTTATAGAAGCAGTGAGTGGTGTGGCTAATATTGGAACCCAAGTCTGACTCTCCACTAATAGCATCTCCAAAATTATAGGCATAAAAAAATCATTGTCTTGGTTTCATTCATCCAAACCAGTAAACATTTCCAGAACTTGGAGCAGGACTATGCTAACAATATTGCTGTGATAAGACTGCCACCCAAGGAGACCAAAGGGAGAGCATTTCTCTGGGGCTCTTTCTTCCCACCTGTCTCCCCAGGATGAAACCCCTATACATTGTGACCACCACGAACCCTCTAAATAAACTAACAAACATGGTGCTTTGTAGCACAAGGGTGATGATGCTTCCAGTTTCAATGAGGAAAACCTCATCTACAGTACCGTGGACCTCTTTTTTGCTGGAACTGAGACAACTTCGACAACACTGCGCTGGGGTCTGCTTTACATGGCCCTCAACCCAGAAATCCAAGGTGAGCAAGCTGGGCCAGCACACCGTGGTGCCTCTTGGACACACTGCCCCAAAGTTGAGAGGAGATTATAGCATGGTGGAGAGGAAAGATAGGCAGGACAGTCACCAGGCCATGTGAACGTGAGAACAGGCATGTTTTTCATTTTTTATGTCATTATTGTAATGATGCCACAGCATACAAATATAATAGGAGTCCCTGACCTCAGGACACTCTACTTGGGAAAACAGCGAAGTTAATTGACATTGTGATGAGTTCCAGGAAAGTTACATTCTCACAAGAAATCTGGTCTTAGTGGAAGTTAGATGTCAGAAAATAAGGAAAAAAGAAAAGAAGGAAGGAGGGAGGGAGGGAAGGAGGGAGGGAGGGAGGCAAAGAAGGAGGAGGGAGGAAAAAGACCTGTTGCTAGCCTTCTCTCCTTTTAGGTTGTCTTGCATTGCCCTGTGGAAAATGTTTAATCTTCTTACTTCTTACCCTCTGCTGTGCCTCTTACTTCCCATCCAGCCTCAACTCACCCTTCTGCATGGGGACTTCATTAAATTACCTGTCATTTTCTTTGCATTGTCATTATTTGTGCCTGTGTCATTGCCCCTGGTGTTCTTTCTACAACAGTGGTTCTCAACCTTCCTAATGCTGCCACCCTTTAATACAATTCCTTATGCTGTAGTGACCCCCAACCATAATATTATTTTTGTTGCTACTTCATAACTGTAATTTTGTTGCTGTTATGAATTGTAATGCAAATATCTGTGTTTTCTCATGGTCTTAGGCAACCCTGATAGGTTTCTCAAGAATGTATTTTCCTAATTTTTCTACTGGGCAAACGACTAGCTCTGCTTGAAGGATGTGCTCAACACCACCTCTCATGTTTTCCCAATCCTCTGGAACATTAGTAGCATTCTCTTTCTCTAGAGATGATCCGATGCCCCTCTATTACTGTGCTATTGCATATTATTTGTATATCTGCCCCACAAACTGTAGTCCATTCAGTGACAGTAACTGTTATAATCAGTTTTCTTTCTCCAGGCCCCAGAACAGTTTGATCACATGAGGGATTAGATTTGTTATGATACAACTTTTTAAATTCTGGGTAACAGTTTATTAAAGGGACATAAAATCTATTTAGTGAATCAAGATCTTTTTTGTTGTTGTTGTTTTGTTAATCCTCACCCGAGGATATTTTTCATTGATTTTTAGAGAGAGTGGAAGGGAAGGGGAGAGACAGAGAGAGAAACATCAATGTGAGAGACAAATCGATTGGTTGCCTTCCTTTCGCTCCCTGACCAGGATCAGGGATCAAGCCTGAAACCGAGGTACATCCCCTTGATCACAATTGAACCTGACTCTTCAGTCTGAGGACTGAGACTCTATCCACTTAGCCAAACAAGCTAGGTCAAGACTTTTTTTCCTCTAAAATAAAGATAGAACAGAAAAGATCAGAGTGCTTTCTATGTACTATGGATAAGTTAGTTCATGCAACTTGATATATATATCCTGAGTCATGATGCAAAATGCCTTTGCAACTGTGAATTAAATTTTTTTAAAAAAAATTATAAAAGCTACCTACTTAGAATACAGACTTAGCTTCCAAAATAATAATGGTTAAACTGATAGAAGTTTACACCCATGTTCATAGCAGCGTTATTCACAAACCACCAAGAGGTGGAAGTAACCAAGTGTCCATTGATGATGAACAGATAAAACCATGGAGTATAATGGAACATCATTCAGCCTTAAAAACGAAGGCTATTCTGACACATGCTTAACACGGATAAACCTAGAGGCCATTATGCTAAGTGAAATAAGGTAAACACACCAAAATAATACTGTATGATTCCACTTATATGAGGTATCAAGAGGAATCAAATTCATAGAAACTAAAAGTAAACTGGTACTTTTAGTAGACAGAGGCTGGAGAATAGGGAGAAATGGAGATTTGTTGTGTAATAAATACAGTTTCACTTTTGCATGTTAGAAAAGTTCTGAAGGTTGGCTGCATAATAATGTGACTATTCTTAACACTATTAAACTATATACTTAAAAAGGTTAAAATGATACATTTTATGTGTATTTTACCATGATTAGAATGTTGGGGGGTGTATATATATATATATATATATATATATATATATATATATATTATAGAGGAAGGGAGAGGGAGAGAGAGATAGAAACATCAGTGATGAGAGAGAACTATTGATCCATTGCCTCCTGAATGCCCCCTACTGGGGATAGAGCCTACAACCCAGACATATGCTTTGACCAGAATTGAACCTGGGACTCTTCTGTCTGCAGGCTAATGCTCTATCCAATGAGCCAAACAGGCTAGGGCTCTTGGATGTTTTAAATGGATGGTAAAACATATATAGAAGTTTATATATCAAATTTGAACTGCACTCTACAGAGTTCTTTGGATTTCAAGATCTCTCTATTGTGATGTTCTAATGTATCTAAAATATGTTCTTATTGGCACAAAGATGTCTCCCCAATGAGAAGGGCTCAAAAGCACTCACCCTTCTTTTAAGGGTATGTTCCAATTATTAAACACTAGTGGCCTGGTGCATGGATTCATGCACATTGAAATTAGAAGAAATATTTTAACATCTCTATTTGCCTTTTCTCTATAATAGAAGTGTCAACAAAATTCACGATCGACAATGAGAGATCAAAACACACGTATGTGATTGTCATGAGAGTTTTATATGTATCACTCATGCATGAGTCAATTTAATCTTTCCTATATAGAATAAACTTGCTTAATTAGACCTGCTTTCTGATTTAGCTAAGCTTTTTCCAGCTAAGTGAAGCACCCCAACTTCTCTTTAAGGTAATAGTTAGCAACACAGCAGTAAATATCAACATGAAGCAGATTGTTATTGTAGATCACACAGGTAGAACAAAAGGTAAAATACTTAATTGCAGCAGTGTTTGACTATTCTGCACAGTGAGAAAAAGTGAAGTCCTTTTCAAGGCCTACCATTTCTTCTTTTCAGTCGCATCAAGTTTCTAAGCTTTCTAAATCCCTGTTTTCTGGCTAATGAAAAGAAAATAGAATTCCACCAAGTCTCCTATCTACCTACTCCAGGACTTTTGTGACGATCAAATGAAATGAGGCATGGGAAAATGCTTCACATTTGGTTGCAGTGTAAAATGTTTGCACCTGGCTTGTCTTCCTGGGCTGAAGAAACTCTAAGGAGGCTAGATGCTAGGGACAGAAAGCTGGGCTTTGCTATGTGACATCATTACCTGGAGCCCACAGCCACTGTTTCTAGACTAGGCTGAGCTATGGGCTGCATTTTGCGCCATGGGGTCTCAGCAATGTCAATTGCAATTTGGGGGACTGTCACTCTGGGGTGGTGACAGGACCTGTTTCCCACTTGAGGGAAGCTGAGTGTTGCTTTGTGGGCGCCAGGTCCAAGGTTCTGTTTCTTTGTAAATGGTCAGTGCACATCAAGACAGGTCCTGCATTGAGCGTCTGCCCCCTAGTGGTCAGTGTGCATCTTAGTGACTAATAGGGCAGGGGGACATTTACCATATTAACTATATATATATATATATATATATATATATATATATATATTCCTCCTATACACTTTCTATTGGTCAAAATTTAATCACATGGTCACTGTAATAAAAAGAGAATCTGGGATATGTAGACTTTGGCTGGGTAACCAAGTATCCAGCTAAAATCAATTATTATTGTAAAAAAGGGGAAAAAACAAAACAGACATTGGGAGACAATTAGCAGTTTCTATCATTGTCTTATTCCAGGGCCCACTTTCCACTCTTATTACCTCCTTGACAAACAAGAGTCTATGCAGCCTAGTATAATGTTAACGTTTTGATCCTAGTCATTCCACTCCTTAGCTTCACAAGGCTCAAGGAAAGGTATTGAATATAAGAACTTACTTTTCTTTTCAAGAAAAAGTGCAAGCTGAGATCGACAGAGTGATTGGCCAGTCGAAGCAGCCAAGCACGGATGCTCGGGAGCTCATGCCCTACACCAATGCCGTCATCCATGAGGTGCAGAGAATGGGAAATATCATCCCCCTGAATGTGCCCAGGGAAGTAAACAATGCCACCACCGTGGCTGGATACCACCTGCCCAAGGTAATGAGGGACTCCAGCTTCAGATCTTAAAGCTTATTGCTTTGAATGGTAGAATCTGAATTTGAAAAGTGACAGATTCTTGCCCTAGGGAATTAGTTTAATGGGGAGAGATATTTTACTTGTTTCAATATTAATTTTTTGTCCTTGGGTAAACATTAATTCAAGTAGGTAGTAATTTATTATGGAAAGGAAGGGGACTCCTAGGTCAAATATGTCTAACCAAAGACTGGCTTTTCTTTGCTGTGGGATTGCTCAGTGTTTTTACTATGAAATGTGTATTGTGAATCTCTGTGGAGATGCAGCTGACTTTGCATGGAATCTTCTTCTTGGCCTTAATAGAGCGTCTCACATGATTAGGGACTTGCCAGAATTACTTTAGAGAACTTGGTTTCACAATCCTGAGTCTACTATATAGAACATTAAAATATAAAGGGACAATTGAGACTATTTAGGCCAGTAGTTCACAAACTCATTAGTCAACAGAGCCAAATTTCAACAGTAAGAGGAATGAAATTTCTTTTGAGAGCCAACATTTTTTTAAAATATATTTTATTGATTTTTTTTTATAGGGAGGAAGAGAGAGGGGTAGAGAGATAGAAACACAGATGAGAGAGAAACATTGATCAGCTGCCTCCTGTACACCCCCTACTGGGAATGTGCCCGCAACCAAGGTACATGCCCTTGACTGGAATCGAACCCGGGACCCTTCAGTCAGCAAGTGGACGCTCTATCCACTGAGCCAAATTGGTTTCGATGAGAGCCAAATTTTTAAAATTTTAAACTACATAGGTAGATGCATCGTTATTAACTTAATTAGGTTACGCCTAAACTGGCCTTTGCTAAAAACTCAAGGGGCCAAAGAGCCGCATGTGGTTCACAAGCCACAGTTTCCCGACAACTGATATAGGCCAACATCACATTAATCCTGGTGTTTCTAACGTAATATCCCAATAGGGTTTTTTTCAGTTTTTACTTGTAGCCCTGTGATGGGAGAAACCAATCCAAGTGTGTGCAATATTAAGTATTAGAAAAGCAGAGAAAGAACACACACTTGTTAAGCAGTAATTATATTCTATGGACTACATCATTTCTTTCAAAATATGTTAATCAGTCCTCAGAATAAGTCTGTTCTTTCTATTTTATAAACTGAGAAGTATGATCTCATAGCGATTCAGCTTGTATTAGGTCCCTCAACTACAAAGTGACAACAGTTGGGTTCAAGAACCAGATCTATTCTGATTCCCAGGTTCATCTTTTTTGTACTAAATCATGGTCTCTACACAGGAGTTGTTTGACTTTGACCTGAAAAGGGTCTTCTTGCAATTGCTCTCAACTCATCCCTGTTTAATTCTGTGTCCTCACAAAGGAAATTCTGATCTCACTCTACCAACCAGGCTTATGATCTTAGCAAACATCTCTCCTATGCCTCCTAGCACCCTTTCTGCACACTGCACCTTTACAGCTCCCTTGCTTTCTCACCACTTTGGTCAACCTCTGTGGGTCCATTCCAGTTGTATATGTCCCTCTGCATATGTCTTACCTGGAGACAAACTTAAGAGGGGATTTTTCATTGTACATGTTTTGGTCATTGTCCCTGCAGAGCCAGGAAAAGCCGCTATTCCTGCAGCTATTGCATTTATGATTTCTTGCCGATTGACCATATTGTAGGTGAAGGCTGAGGTTTAAATTATGTCACAGGTGCTGCTTGCATTTAAAAAATAATAGATCTTATTAATTTTTTACAAAGAGGAAGACAGTGGGTTGGGGAAGGTGAGGATATGGTACACGCCCTTGACCAGAATCGAACCTGGGACCCTTCAGTCTACCAGCCGACACTCTATTCACTGAGCCAAACCAGTTAGGGCTGCTTGCATTTTCAAAGCAATTCACGTAAGCTCCAAAAAACACCCCAGCTCTACCTCTTATTCTTAATATCCACTTTAATAACCATCCTGAGAACTGACAGATCTAAGTGACTAAGTTGTAGAGACTAAGCTGACATGGCTTTAACATCAAGGAGACCTAGTAGAAAGCAAGGTTCTCCCTCCTCCGCTATGTGACTCTGGGCACATTATTTAACCCCTAAGAGCTTCAATTTTTTTAGTTGTAAAGTGTGTTAAACCTACCTCACAGGTTGAGGTAAAATGAGGTCATGCATGTTGAATGTTAAATCTAGTGCTCAGCATGGAAAGTACTTAAAATAAGTTATCCTTTATTAATCAAACAAATGTTCATTAAGCACCTAAAATGCTCAGGCCTGAGAAAACAAACCTGAGGAATAACCATGCAAGTACATACTCAGAAACCATGGCAACTGCCCCACTGAAAAAACTCCCACATCTCTATAAAGATGCAGGCTGGCTGGAATGGGGAGTAATAGCAGGAGTAGTCAGAGGAGCTCAGCAGAATGAGGTGAGGGCAGCAGTATTAGGTCAGCAGAATGAGGTGAGGGCAGCAGGACGTTTTGATCCTAGTCATTCCACTCCTTAGCTTCACAAGGCTCAAGGAAAGGTATTGAATGTAAGAACTTGCACTCTTCCTAATGCTTAAGAGTTAGGAAGAAAGACATGAAGATACTGTAAACAACATTTTAAAAGGTACAAAATGAGTGAGAACAGAGCTGTTTGAACAGTGGAAAGACGGCTGATGAAGTGGAAGTGCAGGCAGAGACAGAGTGGACCAGACAGGGGTCAGGCCATGGATTTGTCCCCCAAGAGCAATGGGAAGCTGTTAAAAGATTCTATCAAGTTCAAAGCTGGTAGGTGGGTAGGTGGGTATGACATGATTAAATCTTATTTGAAGCTCCCTGGGCTTGCAGAGTATGTAGCACATTGAAAGGGTAAAGAGAGGATGTAGGGCATAGTTAGCTAGCAATTGTAGGCATATAGGCAAGCAAGGGTTAGCCAGGAGTAGATGGTAACAGTGGGCATAACATGGAGGTGACAGAATTAAGAGAAATTTAAAGTAAAATTGACCAGCGTAACTGAAGGGTTACATGAAGGATCAATGGGGAGAAAAGAGGCAGTAAGGAGGACTCTTGGGTTTCTTGATATGTACCTGTTGAATAGTGGTTCCTTTTACTGGACAACCTGGTTCTATTACCGCGTTTCCCTGAAAATAAAACATCCTGCGAAAATAAGACCTACTTACAGGTTTCCTTCTGAGTGAAATATAAGGCATCCCCCCAAAAATAAGGCCTACCTAGGCTCTGTCTCAGAATGAAATTTAATTTACCGTAAACTAGTCACTAGGGCTGCCCTGACTGGCGTCTAGCAACCAGTGACGTTACTCAAAGTCCTGACATCACTGCTGTGTGGAAGCAGAGCAGAGGTCGGAGTGAGCGGTGAGCACTGGGCGGGAGAGAGGAGGAGACTTTTGCAGATGCCTGTAGAAGAACAAGAGGATTAGAACATACAGGACTCAGTGAAGGTGGCGAGTGCTGGTATGTCTCTGGTGACACTACCTGATGCTCGTGGCTGCCCTCATGATGACTGAAGGTTCTCAGTCAGGGGCAGACTCTGCTCCAGCCCAGATCCAGGCCCCAGCAAGCCCAGTGACAGTCCCCAGGCAGGCCCCAGGGGGTAAATGTCTGATAAAGGGGTAGGGGGAGGTCTGCTGAAGGTGTTCAGTGGCACAGGGATAGGGGGAGGGGGATCACTTAAAATGACACAGGGGGATCAGAGGGGGCAATCAAAATGACACAGGAGGATCAAAAGGGGTTACTAAAATGGCAATCCCCCCTCTGATTCTCCTGTGCCATTTGATTGCCCCCTCTGATCCACCCTGTGTCATTTTAAGTGATCCCCCTCCCCCACCTTGATACCCCAATTCCTTTTTTTACCCTTAGAAATGAGCACAAAAAGAAAAAGCTACTCCATGGAGTACAAGAAAGGAATCATGGAAGACTCTTGGGGCCAAAATCTTACTGCTTTCTGCAAAGAGAAGATGTTGAGTATCGATTGGTCCAAAAATGGCGAGCAAAGTATGGTAACATCATTGAACAAGTGGACAAGGGAAATGCTAAAAAGCGCAAGTGTGGATCAGGTTGGCAACCATTATTTTCTGAGCTGGAAGACCTGATCTGTGAATGAGTTGTTAACAGGAGAGCAAAGGCTTTGGTTGTGAATAGGGCTCAGATTCAAGAATTTACCCTTGCAATGGCACCACAGTTTGACATAGCCCCTGAAGACTTCAAAACATCACAACACTGGCTGGATAATTTCCTTCAGCGAAGTGAACTGTCTTTAAGAAGATCTACAACATTGTTTAGGTTGGAAGATACTCAAATTATTAAGGGAGCACTTGCATTCAAGTCCTTTATTGATGATGCTGACTTCTCTAAATACAATCTTTCCAACATGATTGCTATGGATGAAACTGCAGTGTTTATGGGCCAATCATCTCAAACAACAATTGAACAGCGAGGTGCCTCCTTAGTGTACATTCCCTCCACTGCTTATGAAAGTGCACGTGTTTCCTGTATTTGGCAATTGGTCTGAATGGCACAAAAGTCCTACCTTTAATCATTTCTAAGGGCAAGAAGGAAAAGATTGAACGTGTTTTGGGCGTTCTTATTCTTAAAACTGAAAAAGCTTGGGCCACACAAGCAGTTATAAGGAAGTAGGTAGATTTAATGCTGCCACTTGTTATGCAAGGGAACCAAAGAGATCTGCTAGTCTGGGATGCAGCCAGCACTCACCGCACTAAAGACATGAAGACATTTCTTCATGAAAGAAAAATAGATCAAATAATGATTCCTGCAGGAATGACGACCTATCTCTAGACTCTTGTTATTGCAATAAACAAGCTATTCAAAGACAATTTACGCATGGAAATTAATGATTACATCGAAAATAGAATGGAGAGAAATCAGCGTGGAAACTTTGTGAAACCTAAACTGCAAGAAGTTGTGAATTGGGTGAAGAATTCATGGGAGAAAATCACTGACAGTTGCATTGCAAATGCACTGCGAGCAGGCTACCTTGACAAGAAGTACTCATTTAAAGACAGTGCTATTGCTAAACATGAGAGATTTGGTCCACTGATTCTGAAAGAAATTAAGTCACAAGAAATTCACCAGGAAATTCAGGAATTGGATTGTTATGATGATGTTCCAGAAGATGATGACATGATTGTCAATGAATAAATGAGTAAATTCTTGATACTGTAGGATTCACAGTTTGTCTAGTTTGTGTTGACAACTGTACTGCATACAGGTAATAAATTTCCTTTATTTTCATTTAACAATAAATGTGTACTGTATTCTTCTTCATGGAAAAATAAGACATCCCCTGAAAATAAGACCTAGTGCATCTTTGGGAGCAAAAATTAATATAAGACACTGTCTTATTTTCGGGGAAACAGGGTATTAAACCTGGGCAATACAGTGGACAATGGAGAGAAGAGAAAGGAATAACTGGGATGAATGAGACATAGTTTACCTTACCATGGTCAACACTTCACTGAGCAGCTGTGTTGACTTTGGTACAGTACTGACTGGCAAGTCTATGTTAATCACTCATTGGTGCATGCATGTCTGCTCTCAGGTCTTATACTGACAGGTTCCTACAGAGAACATCCATACTGCAGTCAAGAGTAACCATACTGAAAAACCAAGATGGCGGCATAGGTAAACAACTGATCTGCTTCCTTGCACAACAATTTCAAAATTAAAACTAATATTTAGGATATCTATCACCCAAACCACGGTAAAGGTGGCTGAAAGAGAAAGGAGCGCAAGCGCTGAAAAGCTAAGGAGCTCAGGTACGGAGGCATGCGAATCAGGCTGGTGGCAGGCAACTGGCCGCAAGGCTTTTTTTCAGCCTGAAGGAAAACAAGCTCAGGATAATTTTGAAATAGAGTTTCTGGGGTCAAGGGGAGAACCCAGATGCCTACGGGGAGAAGCTAATCTGTGGGCCATCAATTCCAAAAGTGAGGGTGACTGACTCTCTTGCAGAGGTGCGTGGAGCAATCATTGTTTACTGGGCTGGATAGCAGGGATGTGGGGACTTGGAAATGCGGAAGGGCAGAGAAGGCTGAAGGTAGCTGTTGCTGTTAGCCATGGCCCAGCCTAGTGAAGTCCTTAGACCCCGCCCTGCCCTGAAGACCCGCCTCAAGGCCCCACCCCACACATTCTACAGACACCACACACCTGCTTTTGCATATAAATGGCCTGAATTGTAGCAGCTTAAGGAAATGAACTGCAGCTCAAGCACAGGAACCCTCCTAGCTGAGACACTGTTGATCTTCACAGCCAATTGGCTTGAAGATCAAGGCTTCCCAGTGATACCAACAAACAAGCAAGGCTTAACAACAAGACTGCACACACAGCCCACAAAGGACTGCACTAAGACTCTCCACCTCAGGTAACTGGGAAGGCTGTGCTCCTGGGCTCTACCAGGACACTTAGGACACAAAACTATTCCATCAAATCAGGGAAGTAGCTAAAATGCAGAGAAGAGGCAGGGCACAAAGGAAGGAAATGGAGGAAAGTAAAAAATGAACACTGAGTTCAAAACCACAGTTATAAGGTTTTTAAAGAATTTCCTAGAAACGGACGATAAAATAAAGGAGACATTTTAGGATATAAAAAGGGATCAACTAGAAATAAAGAATGCATTGTCTGAAATAAAAAATATTATTCAGAGTCTTAAAGACAGAATGAAAGATCGCAAGAATCAAGTCAAAGATTTGGAACACAAAGAGCCAGAGGTCACTCCTCCACAGAAGCAAGAAGAGAGGAGAATCCAAAGAGTTGAAGATTGTGTAAGAAACCTCTGGGACAACTTCAAGTGAACCAATATGAGAATTATGGGGATCCCAGAAAAAGAGAGAGATCAAGATACCGAAAGCCTATTAGAAGAAATAGTGACAGAAAAAAAATGTCCCCCACCTGGTGAAAGAAATAGACTTACAAGTCCAGGAAGCGCATAGAACCCCAAACAAAAGGAATCCAAAGAGAACCACACCAAGACACATAATAATTAAAATTCCAATAGCAAAAGACAAAGACAGAATATTAAAAGCAGCAAGAGAAAAGCAGATAGTTACCTATAAAGGCGCACCCATATGATTGTCAGCTGATTTCTCAACAGAAACCATGCAGGCCAGGTGGGAATGGCAAGAAATATTCAAGGTGATGAATAACAAGAACCTACAGCCAAAAATACTCTACCCAGCAAAGCTATTACTCAGAATCAAAGGCGAGATGAAGAGTTTCACAAATAAAAAAAAGTTAAAGCAGTTGATCACTGCCAAACCAGAATTATATGAATTGCTGAAGGGGGTTCTTTAGGAAGAGGAAGAAGATAAAGATAAAAATTATGAACAACTGCCGAAATTGGTTTGGCTCAGTGGATAGAGCGTCGGCCTGCAGAGTGAAAGGTCCCAGGTTCGATTCCAGTCAAGGGCATGTACCTTGATTGCAGGCACATCCAGTAGGGGGTGTGCAAGAGGCAGCTAATCGATGATTCTCTCTCATCGATGTTTCTAACTCTCTATCCCTCTCCCTTCCTCTCTGTAAAAAATCAATAAAAATATATTTAAAAAAATTATGAACAACAAAGATGTAACTATCAACAAGTGAGTCTAAAAACCAAGAGAATTAAAAGATCTGATGAACAATAATAACTGGTGAATATAATAGAATCAGAGGTATAGAAGGGGAGTGGACTGAAGATTCTCTGGGAAAAGGGGAGTAGGGGGTGTGGGAAGAGACTGAACAAAAACTGGGCACCTATGGATGAGGACAATAGGGGGTGGGGAAAGGGCAGAGGGTGGGGTGAGAACCTGGTGGAAGGGAGCAATGGAGGGGAAAAAAAGAGGAACATTTGTAATAATATGAACAATAAAGATTTATTAAAAAAAAAAAAAAGAAAGAGTAGCCATACTTCCCTAGGAAATTCCCAGCAAGCATTTGCAGTTGATCATTACAAGTTGTAACATGGCAAAGTAGGCTCCTGGGAAGGTTGGGGGTGGAGAGCTGGGCTCAGAAAACAGTGGGTTGGGAGGGTGAGGATATGGTCAGGCCCTGGCTTGGGAGCAGGGGACTTCCAGCCCTCTGCATGGGGGTGTTGCATGGGTCAAGCCTTGCCTGAGTCTTTGCTGCCTTCTCCAGGGGACCATGATCATGACCAATCTGACTGCACTGCACAGGGACCCTGAAGAATGGGCCACCCCCGACACATTCAACCCAGAGCACTTTCTAGAGAATGGACAGTTTAAGAAAAGGGAAGCCTTTCTGCCTTTCTCAATAGGTGAGTTCTACAAAATAAGAGGGTGTGAATCCAGAGCTCCTCTCTGCCCTCCCCTGCTCCTCTCCCCATCATCCTTGGCTTTAGCTGGAATGCCTCCAAACAGCCCTGCCCAGCGTGATTTCCTCTTATTGCTGTTCCAGCTCAGGATTCCCAGGGCTGGAGTGGCTCCAGGCTGCCCTTTCTTCCTCGGCCTTTGCTTGGCAGGCAGGGCAGCCTGAAGATTCCAGCTTCACTCTGTTCTGTCCCCCGGAACACTGGGGACAGAGACTCAGACCCTGCCTCTTGCTCACAAAAAAAGGTTGGACATTGCCATCTTCACAGAATTTCTAAGGGCCACCCACTCACACAGAACTAGAGCCAATTCATAATATGGGGGTGAAGAGGGACAAGGAAAGTGGTACTTGCTTATCATTATGGGCATCAGGAGTGATGCTAATGCCATCCTGGACTAGATGGGATTCTATTCTATATGCACCCCTTTTTGCCTGTTTACATTTTACTTATGCTGTAAAAAGGTTAGTTAATACATTTACTGGGTAAACAACCTGAATGGTGTAAAAGAGGATGATGTGAAAACTCATGTTTTCAAACAGCCAGTTCCAAAGCCTTTTTAAATCATAACATTGTAAAATGAATAACAAAAATTTTTAGTATCTTTATTAGTTTTGAATTTGGTATGTCTCATGGGTTATTTTAGTCCTAGAAATTTGTCCTGAGCCAGTAGTCAGCCTGCGCATACTTCAGAGATAATGAAACTGAAGCTTGAGGGGTAAAGTGTGGCATCTTTTACATCTGTTATTGACTTGTTTATATTTCTCCTTTTTACACTTACTTTTTCTTTTTGCATTGAATATGTATTACTTAGGGAGAAAATAAATTATTACACCCAGAAGAGAGATGGTGGTTGTGACCAGTGAGGGGTGCTGTAGCCCAAGATAGGTGGGGTGGGCATTTGTGAAAAAGAGGGGACAGCAGAAGCCTAGAGTGGGTGTCAGAGGACCAGAAAGATGAGGCAGGATCTGCACAGAGTGGCTATGGTACTGATGGGAGATAAGTTATATACACAGGATGCTCATTCAATGAGTAAGTAAACATAGCAAGGATAATGGTGGTGGTGGGGGGATAATTTTAAATAAGGACTTATAAATAGTTATATATAGTTATGATATTAGAATGAACTATGTGGTGTTGGATTGAAATAAGAGGTTATCGATACAAACTCAGATTTTTAATAGATTTGTAGGTAGATAAGAAGATATAGAAGTAAATCCTATATAATTAAAGAGTAACATGCAAATTAACCATACCTCTGCTACACTCGCAAGCCACACCCACCAGCCAATCAGACTGAGTATGCAAATAAACCCAACTAAGATGTCTACAACTATAGAGAACAGAAGGGAGGCTTGGGTTTCCTAGGTGACAGAGAGAGGAAGCCAAGCTTTCTGCCTGCCCTTTCTGGCCTAGGCCTCCATTCAAGGCTACAAAGTTTCAATTATGTAAGGTAAACTAAACCAAACAGAAATGGCTGCTGGCCACAGAGTGAGCAGAGGATTGGATCCACTCCAGGCTATAAAGTTTCAATTGTAGAAGGTCAATAAATTTAAGATACCAGGGCCTCCACTTAGATTGCCAGGAGGTGTGGCTTGCCCACCCCACACCCCAAGGGAACACCCACTTTGATCCAGGACACCCTTCAGGGCAAACCAGCTGGCCCCCACCTATGCACAAGGCTTCTATCTTATCTAACAAAAGAGTAATATGCAGATTAACCATCACTCCAACACACAATATAGCTGCCCACATGTGGTCAAAGATCCTGACCCTATGTGGATCACCACAGGATGGCCACCACAAGATGGCCAGCAGGGAACAGCAGTTGGGAGACACCAAGTCTGCAAGGGAGGGCAGTTGGAGGCAATCAACCCTGCAGGCGAGGGCAGTTAGGGGTGACCAAGCTGGCAGGGTAGAGAAGTTGAGGGAAAACTGGCCGGGAGGGAAGCACTTAGGCATCAATCAGACTGGCATGGGAGTGGTTAGGGGGTGATCAGGCTGGCAGGCAGAAGCGGTTAGGGGCAATCAGGAAGGCAGGCAGGTGAGCAATTGGGAGCTAGCAGTCCTGGATTGTGAGAAGGATATCCGACTGCCTAAACTTTCTGACATCTTTTGAGGGGTCCCAGACTGGAGAGGGTACAGGCTGGGCTGAGGGGAAGCAGGCCTCTAGAATAGATATAAACATGGATGTATATATCCTCACATTTAAATATATACTCATGTTATATACACTAGAGGCCTGGTGCACAAATTCCTGCACATTGAAAGGAAATTAATTAGAAGAAATATTTTAATATCACTATTTGTCCCTTCTCTATAATAGAAGTGTCAAACCAAATTCACACTCAACAATGACAGATCAAAAATCATGTGCATGATTGGAACAAGTGAGAGCTTTATATAGATGAACTTGCTTAATTCGATCTGCTTTCTGATTTAGCTAAACTTTTCCCAGCCCATTGAAGCACCCCAACTTCTCTTTCAGCTAATTGTTAGCAACACAGCTATAAATATCAACATGAAGCAGATTATTATTGTAGATATCAAAGGGAGAACAAAGGTTAAAATATTTAACTGCAGCAGTGTTTGACTATATTCTGCACAGTGAGAAAACCTGAAGTTGATTTTCAAGATCCACCATTTTTTACTTCTTTTTAGTCAGGTCAAATTTCTAAGCTTTCTAAATCTGTTTTCCGGCTAATGAAAAGAAAATAGGATTCTACTGAGTCTCCTATCTACTCCAGGACTTCTGTGAGGATAAAATGAGAAGAGGCATGGGAAAATGCTTCATAGATATTTGGTTACAGTGTAAAATGTTTGCACCTGGTTATAAAGCAAATCATGTTCCTGGCCTAAAGAACCTCCAAGGAGACTAGTTGCTAGGGAGAAGAAGCCTGATGTTGCTATGTGACGTCATTACCTGGAGCCCACAGCTACAATTTCTGGGCTGGGCTGTGGGCTGCATTTTGCACCATGGGATCTCAGCAGTGTTAGCTCTGGTTTGGTGGGGTGTTGCAGGACCTGTGTCCCACTTGGGGGTGGTGGTGGCAGGACCTGTGTCCCACTTGGGGGAAGCTGAGTATTGCTTTGTTGGCACCAGGGATGTTTCTTTGTAAATAGCCAGAATGCATCATGGCAGCTTGTGCGTTGAGCATCTGCCCTCTGGTGGTAAGTGCACATCATAGCAAACAGTCAAATGTTGGAGAGATGCTTAGCATATGAGCTTTTTATATAAGTAGATACTGAGTTGCTATACTCACCAAGATGCCTGGGAGCAACATCATCTCAATAACAATGAGCATGTCTAATGCTCAGATCTAATCCCTATCCACTAAAAGGAACCAGGAATTTTGGGGAAATCAGCTGATTCCAGGTTGAGGAAGGAAAAGCATGAGATAAGCCTGCAATGTGGTGGGGTTTTTTGTTTGTTTTGTTTTTTTCTTTGTTTTTGTCCAAAGTAAGAAAATAGCAGCTTGAATGCTCATTTATTAGCCAAACCTAGAGTATCTTGAGATCCAAACACTAATAACAAATTTTAACCCTTTAAATAAAATAGGAATCTGTGAATTCATACTGATATGAGTGCATAAATAAAATAGGGACAGAGCATTTCCTTTAGTAGAATTCTAATAATGTGGAATGAATGATGGAATTTTAAAAGTCCCAGTCAGGCAACCATTAGATTAATAATTTGGGCAAAAAATAGCAAAGGAAACTAGTCCAATCAGGTATGGTTATTAGTCTCAAACTAGTATTTATTAGTTGCAAAGGGAAAAATAATAATTTTATAGGGGAGAAAGGATAGACACTACTGTTATCAAAATAAATTCACCAATAATGGGGCAAATCAAAAGCATGTCCCACCTGATAGGGTTCAATGATAAGAACCAGCCTCCCTTGGATGATCCTACCCCCAGAAATGCATGACCTCCCAACCTGAGTCTAATCAAGGTTTGAAAAAATTTAATAGTGTTTTCTGCTTCTGTCATTGTTGTTAATTGATTTTTTAGAGCCTGTAGGCTAAACACCCACATTCTAGGTCAACCCAGGCCTCCCACTTCAATCACTGCCTACAACTGCACCTTCACTTGCCTGACCCCTGAAGGCACTGGAGTGAGTCTGGACATAAATTCTGTGCTTAGCTTAAGCCCAGTGTTGTCAGATTGAATGAGCCTCTGTACAGAGAGCCCTGGAGCCTAGAAGGCCCTCCCCACTTTCAAGATATAAAAAAACTTTAGAGAAGATTTCAGTCCCTCTGGGCATGGACACCAACTGGAAAGCTAACTCTTATGTTCTTGTCTTTCAGGAAAACGGGTATGCCTTGGAGAACAGCTGGCCAAGGCTGAGCTGTTCATTTTCTTCACCTCCCTTTTGCAAAAATTTACCTTTAAGTCCCCGGACAATGAGGAGCTGAGCTTGGAAATCAGAATGGGCGTCACCATCTCCCCAGTAGAACACCACCTCCTAGCAGTTCCTCGGGCATGAGGGCATTGGGGGTACACAGGAAGTACGGGCATGTCCTCCTAAGGCACTGAGGCCTGCTCAGAAGGGAAGGACCATAGTAGCCTTGAACAAATCATGTATCTCTCAAAAACACACTCAAAAATATTCCTAGAATAAAACCAATCACATCAGGCCTGGAACTTTCTAAATACGTGGGATGTTGCCTTCCATTTCTTTTTCCCAATCAGATCACCTGAGAAGCAGACTGGAAAGTTGGCCAAAATATTTCACACAATAGAATCAATCCCCTCAATTGTAAAATGAAAGATACTGGTGAAGGATCTGAGTTCCACTCTTGCTCTGCTGTCCATTTGTCCTAATTCCAGATGGTGAGGCACTCACAAACTCCGTGTGAAAAACATGTAAAGTGCCCAGCACTCATCCGGACCTAACAGATGTATTGGGACTCAGAGAAAATATGATAATTATGGTGAAACCTTGGGGAATAGATGGCTGAAGTTTCTGGTAATAAAAAATGACTCCTTTCCTCCCTCTCAAAGCTCCTTAGAAGGATCCTAATATGAGATCTCTTCCTGCCCAAGCGTTACACAAAGGTTTCTTCTGATTTGTATCTCTTTTTTTTTTTTTGTTTGAGAGCTCCAGGTCCCTTCTCCTCTTCCTTTGCCATCCATGTCTGACAGACAATGTGCAAGCATACGACACTTTCTGTGGCCCCCTGGCCAAGGCACAGGTTTTACCCGAAAGAAATTCAGGCTGTGAGTCTTTCCCTACTGCTGTCCTGCAGAGACACGGACACATGCAAACTGCACTGTAAATTAAAACTGGTCCAGGGACAGAGGATTTACAGCAGAAAAGAAGCAGGACACACGGAGCTATTATGGAAGTGTGTAGGGTCTGGCAAAGGAAGCCTGCACGCAGGAGGGGGAGGGTCCTGAAAAGGGCCTCTCAGAATGCCCTACCTATTTACAGCCAAGTGCCAGGGACTGGCTAGGTGACTAAGTGAGGAAACAGGACAGCTTCCTGGGTGAGAAAGCTGCTTTGTCAGAACAGGGAATTCAGAGCTCTAACTCTTGTCAACAGATAGTCCTTGGTGCCAAGTCAACACCAACAGGAATTCACAATTGAGGTGCAGTAAAGGAAAGTGTATTCAGTGCAAAACAGCTCAATGGTGATACAGCAAGGCTGTGAAAACAGCAGGGCTGTGAGGCAGCCCTGTGGCCTTGCCCCTCTGCTCTGTGCTCCTCCACTCTGAGCCAGTCTGCCTCTCTCTGCCCCTGAGGGTCTGTTTTCCTCTGCTCTAGTGGCAGGTCTTCAGTGTTTCTGCTCTACCCAAGGAAACACAGTTTTTAGTGTTTGGTGGGAAGGGAAAGTGCACTCCTGAGCCAGAGGGGAACTGGCTTATATAGATAGAAGTCCTAGTCCCTACTCCCTGATTGGTCTATCCTCATGAAAATGAGAATTCCAAACCTTACAAAAGGCATGGCCTCATTGGTCAGAATGGAGCTGCTCCGATTGGCTGGTAGAAATGTTAATAGGGATAATGCTGTGCTATTTTATTGGATGGGGAATCCTCAGTTCTATTGGTTTAAACAGGATTCTTGGAACTCCGCCAGGACTGGTTCAAATAGCGGAAATAGTGTAGAAAAGGAGCTGAGTGCAGGAGGCAGGCAGCTTAGTGCAGGGTTCTCCGTGAAGTGCCATTAGCATGAGAGAACCCTGTGTAGAAAAGGCCTCTAGGCGCTGTTTTTGTGCTTTCCTAATATTTAAAAACATAATAATAATTTTGAGAGATGAGAGAGGCAGAGATATTTTAAAGATCATTTCATTTGATCCTTTCTCTTAGGAATCATAGTTCTGAAGTGTCAGTTTTCCAATAGCTGAAAACTTATTTTTATTTACTTTGCCTAATTTTCTGGTTGTTGTTGATAGAAGGGTTAGTCCAATGCCAATGACTCTTCCATAGCATGAAGCATAAGTTTCATCACCGTGTTGAGTTTTTATGGAATTTAAGGTAGATGAGAACAACTTTCATTTCCCAAAATAATTCATAATAATTCCTCCTCTGTACTCACACCCCTTTCTGTGCAGCTCGACAATTTCTCCCATAAAGAGATGGACTCTGTGTTCATTCCCCTTTACTCTGAGCTGGCCTGCTGACCAACTCAAAACTACAATGAGATACCACATCACACACTAGGATAGCTAAAATAATGGTCATTTCAGGTGAGGATGTTGCCAAACTGTAACTCACATTGGCGGTGGAATTGTGAAATATTGCAGGCACTTTAGAAAACAGTCTGGAAGTTCCTCAAAATGTTCAACATGACTTATTATATGATCCAGCAGCTTCATTCACAAGTATATGTATCAATTGAACTGCTAAAACAAAATACTATAAACTGGGTACATTATAATGTTTTTCTCACAGTGCGGGCGGGAGGCAGCAAGGCCAACATGAAGGTGCCGACAGATCTGGTGTGTGGCAAGGGCACATCTTCTGACTCAGGGACAGTACCTGTTTGCTGTGTTCTCACATGGTGGGAGGGGAAGGAAGGTTTTCTCAGGCCTGTTATAAGGGCATTAAACCCATTTATGAGCCTTCAGGATCTAATCGCCTCCCAAAGGTTGTACCTCTTGATTTCTATCATCTTAGGGGGCAGGATTTCAACATAAAAGTTTTAGAGGGACATAATCAGACTGTGGTGATATATATCCAAGATAAATGAAACCTACTTCCACACAAAAACGTGGACATGAATGTACATAGCAGAATTATTCAGAATAGCCAGAACCCAAAAATCCATCAAGTGATGAACAACTAAACAAAAGGTGGCACAAACATGTAACAAAATATTAGCCTACCTAATAAAAGAGTAATATGTAAATTAATCATCACTCTGCTGCTACACCCACAAGCCATGCCCACAGCCACATTTATCAGCCAATCAGAGTGAGTATGCAAATAAACCCAACCAAGATGGCTACAGCCAGAGAGAGCAGGAGGGAGGCTTGGGTTTCCCAGGCAATGGCGGAAGCCAAGCTTTCCTCCTGCCCTTAACGGTCTAGGCCTCCACTTAAGGCTACAAAGTTTTAATTATAGAAGGTAAACAAATCCAAACTGAAATAGCTCCCACCATGGAGCAAGCAGGAGGCTTGGCTCCACTCCAGGCAACAAAGTTTCAATTATAGAAGGTAAATAAATTCCAGATACCAGGGCCTCCACTTGGGTCAGCAGGGGGTGTGGCTGGCCTGCAAACCACTGCAGGCGCCTTGCTCAAGCCGTTCCTCACCCCAAGAGAACCTGATCTGGGACAACCTTCAGGGCAAACCAGCTGGCCCCCACCTATGCACCAGGCCTCTATCCTATCTAATAAAAGAACAATATGCAGATTGACCATCACTCCAACACACAGTAACTGCCCCCATGTGGTCAAAGATGGCTGCCCCAATGTGGACACAAGATGGCCAGCAGGGGAGGGCAGTTGGGAGGCACTAGGCCTGCAAGGAAGGGCAGTTGGAAGCGATCAATCCTGCAGGGGAGGGCAGTTAGGGCTAACCTGGCCGGCAGAGAAGGGAAGTTGGGGGCAAACCGGCTGGCAGGGGAGTAGACATCAATCAAGCTGGCATGGGAGTGGTTAGGGGGTGATCAGGCTAGCAAGCAGAAGCGGTTAGGGGCAATCAGGCAGAGGCAGGCAAACGGTTGGGAGCCAGCAGTCCTGGATTATGAGAGGATGTAGGACTGCCTATTTAGGCCCGATCCCACAAAATTGGGCCTAAACGGGCAGTCAGACATCCCTCGAAGGTTCCCAGGTTGGAGAGGGTGTAAGCTGGGCTGAGCGACACCTCCCCCCTGCCCCACCCCGTGCACAAATTTCATGCACTGGGTCTCTAGTTCAGCAAAAAGAAATAAAGGAAGCATACTACAGAATGAACCTTAAAAGCCTAATGCTTAAGAGTCTATTCATGAAAGCTCACATTTTGTATGATTCCATTGATATGAAATGTCCAAAATAGGCAGAGAAAGCAGACTAGTGGTACTCAGGGCTGGGAGGAGAGGACCAGCAGATCAGACAGTAATGGCTACAGAGTTTCTATTTGAGGTGACAAAATGTTTTTAGAGAAATGGTGAGTCACACAATTGTGAATATCCTACAAACTTCTGATTTATACACTTTTTAAATGTGTTCATATGATATTTGAATTTTATCTCAATGAAGCGCTTATAAAAATATGACTATTGGTAAAACCAAGAAAGAGGCTTAGAAATAGGAGCTATTTAGTTGTAGGGCTGAAATAAAATATCTGTTAATTTCTTGCCTATGTAGGTGTTCCTTCCAATGCACTCCTCCAATTCCTTCAGATCATCTTGAGAGTGATTTCTACCAAAAATATTCAGTCCATCACCAGCAATTGTAGTTCAGCTGGTACATATTTGCTGGCTTAGTGGAAGACAGTATTCCAAGTACCAGAGGGCAACAGAGATAAGCTATAGTCCCGACTTCAAGAAACTTAGCCCAGCTCTAGCCAGGTTTTTAAGTGGTTAGAACATTGGCCCATGGACTGAGGGGATCTGGGTTCAATTGCTAGTCAAGGGCACATGCCTAGGTTGCAGGTTCATACCTGTCCCCACTTGGGGCTTATGCTAGAGGCAACAAATCGATGTCTCTCTCTCACATTGATGTTTCTCTCTCTCTTTCCCCCCTCTCCCTTCCTTTCCTTTTTCCCTTCCTTTATACTCTAAAAGTCAATGGAAAAAAATATCCTTCAGTTGTCCAATCTTGGATATATACCTGTTTTTAAAAAGTAAGATTAATTAAGGTCACTAAGACAAAGACTTCACCTTTTAGAAAAATGGATTTCTCACCTTGAGAAATTATGGAAGGATTTATGGAAGAGGGGAATGTTTAAGCTAAAACAAAAGGTCTAAAATGTAACTTTTACCAGGTACTGAGGGCAAGTTGCTGCAGTCAGTTGAGCAAAGGATGGAGGGAGCACTTTACCATCAGACCTATAGCCAGTAA